TTGGCAGACGTAATGAGGTATGAATTAAAAGTTAACCTGTATATGTGTAATTATTTCTACTCAGTTAACTGCTTTTGAGCTTTTAACTGAAAACTAATATATTCGAAAAAACATATAATCTGCTAACTAGTGTGACACAACTTAAGCTTACTGTTGGTTTAGTAATAAACAATACTAAAAACTAGCAATTTCTGAGTACTTCAGGAAAATGTTTGAGATTTTTCTTTTAAACCTATGGGTACTGAGGAATATGTCAGTAAACTAGAACTATAATGTGAAGAAAGTGGGGCTTATAAAGACTTAATTTGCAGTCATGAGCGAGCAGACTTACAAGTTTGTATTTTTAAAAAAGCTGAAGTACTGCTCTGAGGTTAAACCTGCCTGTGTTTTATGCAGAAGAAATCTTCAGTCAAAAGGAAACTCTGGAATAACAAGTTCACCTCAAAGGCTTCTAAAGCTGAGGTGTCTGTGGAGAAGGAGCAAGAAAATGAGAATATGAATGATGTTGTTCAAGCTGTAGATCTCATGGTAAAAGGTATGTGATAATTCCTGAAATATTTTCTTGCACTTAAAATGCTATGCTCCCACTGGAATAGAACTTGAAACATGGTTCCTTTGTCAGTTAGATAAGGGCTTTGTGGGCTTTTTGTAATGCCTAGCAGGAATTAATGATACTTGTCCTCTGCAGTATAGTAAACATGGTATAGATACCTAATGTTTAGGAATGATTTTATGGTAACCAGTAGCTGAGAACCATTGTGTGCAGCAGTGTTAAGTCCTGTAGCCTGTTACCTTTGGTTGGCTACAAGCTTTCAAGTGACTAATAATTAAGTTGAAATGAAAGCCTGTTTTGGCATAGTGTGCTGCCTGTGCAGTTTTTCAGAACCATTAAGCCCAATATGGACAGTGACTTGGTAATAAGACTTCTGTCTTCCACAAAGTACTCATTAAGACTGACAATTGCAAATGTGACCATCTTGCAAAGCCTGCTGCCATGCTTGAGGCAGCTTCTTGGAAGACTGCCTGTATAGCCATTAATACAGTGTAGGATCTCTGTTCTCTGTAAGCTTATGTCTCTAGTTGTAAATTTACAACTAATCTCTGGGCAAACACTATATGGAGTGAGTTCTTACTATCACAGTATATGGAACACTTGTATACAAGTTAGGTATCTTAAGGTGATCTCAAGAATTCAGTCTTGGCGCAGACTTACTGTAGCTTCTTACTTCAGGAAGTCCTTCATCTCAATATTGGAAAGAATTGGCTGAAGAAAGGAGGAAGGCTCTGTATGAAGTGCTTCAAGAAAATGAAAAGGTAGCTAGTGAAAGATAACTTCTTTATGACTGGCTGTTGTTTTCCTGTTATAACACTTGTTGTTTGATCTCAGTTGCACAAAGAAATTGAACAGAAAGATGGTGAAATTGCCCGCCTAAAAGAAGAAAATGAAGAGCTAATGTCCCTTGCTGAACATGTGCATTATATGACCAGCATGATTGAGGTACTTAAAGGAATTTTCAGTTAATGTTGTAGGATGAAAAAGCAAGAAACCAGCAAAGATATTTTTAATGAATCATGACTTCTGTTTTGTGTGCTCTCACAACTCTTCATTTTAAGTTACCATCTGACCTGTTTCCTGTGGCATTGCTTTGAATCCAGAGGAATAAAGCCCCTTCTAGGGGATGAGTTTTTCTACCTTAGAACCCACAGGAGTAATGAGAAAGTACCAAGAGCAATGTTTTCTGAAGGGGAGGTTCAACCTATTGTCATAACAGAACAGGCTTTGCATATTAGGGATGGTGACAAGGGAACAAAGGGTTCATTTTCACTTTCCTGAGATGACTTAAATTCAGATGCTTAATATCTTGTGTGAGGCTGCTGGCTAAATGAAATGTTTGTACTAGCTGTGTCCTTTGAGGAACTAAGCTTGAAACAGGGACACAAAGTGGGGCAGTGAGAGGGAGAAGGGAGCACCCATGTTCTTTAAGTCAGGGTTTCACTGAGGAGTTGCTAGTTGCATGGCCTAGAAAGGGCTAATGCACAAAGTCTGTAGGGTTCATAAACTTGTAAATGTCAAAACAGCTTCCTCTGATAATTCCTTGGGGACAGGTAGTTGTGTCACTGATTCCATGACTCCTCTACCAGGAGCAGATTGTCTGTAACAGCCTCTGAAGTTGTGATAAATATATAGCCATGGAACCTTGATACTAAAATTATCAGCTAGGGTGTTTTTGTAGGGATTGAGCTCTCAACTGTGATATGGAGCTGGGTGCCTGGCAAATATTTTGATTCTCTGATTAGACTGGGGAGGTGGAAACAAAATGGAAGATGATTGCAAGCAACTTAAGAAGCAAACTTGATCAAGTTAATTTTCAGTTAGTGCAATTATTTAGATCAGTCTTGAAAGACTCCACTAATTTGCTACACTTGAATTTTTTTTGCATTCAGGGAGTGCTACTTGTCAGTGATAAACTCACAGGCAGAAATTAAATGACTTAAGGACTTAAAGAACTAATGTAGTTGGCAACTTCTCTGCAGTTCCTCAGCAGTTAAGTTCACTTATTAGTTGTAAGCTGCTCACTTCTGAGGCTCTAATGAGCCTCAAGTGATACATCAAACAACCCGAAGCCTCAAAAGCAGCCTCTTACAGTCCTGTTTTTCTTCCTTAGATCAGGTTAGGTGAGGAACTTCTAGTTTGATCATCAAGTGCTAGAAACTGCTGGGTCTTCCAGTTCATCTAGACTTAATGTAGCTTCATTATATCTGATTAAAAATTATGAACTTAATCTGTTGTATAGTAATTTTTCTAAAATTAAACCTATATAGTAATATTTAACTTGGGAAGCTGTTTCCTATATTTTACGTTGCCCAGGATAAAGCCTGTCCTACTGAAGAACCTAAGTAAGACTTAACAAAGCTGGTGTGGTCTGTGAGTTAGAGGTAGCAATTTGAATTGAACTCAAGTGTGTTAAGATTTCTGTGACTGAGGAATGTTTTAATTATATTGGTGATCTCCAAATGAAGATAATTAGTTTTCTTAATTCAGTATTATTAATTCAGTCTTATTTTGCTGGCTATTAAGTAGAAAAAGTATGAAGTTCACTGTCTTCTGTTTCTTTCTAGAGGCTAACTGGGGAAGCACCTGACAATCTTGAGACACTGAAGAGTCTGCCTCTAGAGGAATCCAAACAAGAAAATGAAGAGCTTAACCATGAAGATGATGCAGACAGTGCTTCTGAAGAAGGGCCATCACAAGTATCATGTGGCTTAAGGGAGAGTATATCAGATCTTGCTTCAAAGGAAGCAAATAATTTGCAACTGGAATGACAACCTTTAAATAGGCTTTTGTGTGTGGTTTTTAATTGCAGACTTCCTCTTGATATACTAAAACTTCTCAGGTATAGAAACTCTTGTGGAAGCATTACAGATGTGTTTTAACTGGAATCATGTAGCAGTGGGAGTGTCTGGATACTGCATAGAAAACTTACTACAGGCTGCAATTAGTTGCTTGTATAAAATGCAAATACTGTGTATTTCAAACTGTTGTGTAAATATCTTATCAGTTGGTCTGACATGATACATGAAAATTGAGAAATAAATTTTTGCCTTACCAAAACAGCCTCTTATTTGAGTGGGAATAGCTAGTTCTAGGTTTAAGTTAATTGTGACTACAGTAGATGGAAGCTTTGGAGTTTTTTAGGGCATGCCTGGGCATTTTTTAACTCCTTAGATTTGCAGAATTCTGGAGAACAGAGTGGGTTTGGTGGATAGGGAAAGCAAAATAAAATGTGTGCTGTTGGTGAGGCTTCAGAAAGTCAAGAATAAGGTAATAAGAGTCAAGAGCTAAAGTTTAGTTAGATTTATGCTTTTCAGGGTTTTTTAGTAATTGCCTACATCTTTCAAGGGAGCTTTTTCCAAGATGTATACGTGAGAGTTTAAGTAGAAAGTATTATAAAGTCTCTTCTAGAAATAACATTTATTGGCTTATAAAGAAAAGGTGGGGTGTTCTTGCTCCTAATAGCAGCTGTACTGAAAATTAGATGGATACAAAGCAGTCTACACTTCAGAGCTATTCTGAAAGGAAATTCAGTATCTATTTTCAAAGTACTGCTCTGGTATTTACCAGAAGATGAGGCACCTTTTTACCAAGATAGTTATGTTCTGAAGGGTTTACAGGAATAAAAAAGCACTCTTTAAAACCTTCAGCACCTTACCTGGCATCTGTATGGGATGGGGGGAGATGCTTGCAGTTGAAAGCACTGAGGTAGAAGGGGAGAGGAAGTTGAACACAGGTTTTCCAGTCTGGAGTGAACTTGGCACTTGTTCTGTAAGTAACAAGGTCTTCCAAGGATAGGCTTTAAAAGATGGTGGCCATTGCAGTATCTTGTGAAGAGCTTAAAGTTGAGTGGCTTTCAGGAGGCAGGCCAAAATGGTTGCTTCAGGGTATGTGTAAATATGCCTGTGGAGCTAGCAGATTGGCACCTTTAGATTCCTTCCATATCTTATTCTCTCCCTGTGGGTGTCAGTAAGTTAATAAACATTTTGCAACTGATTTCAGTTGTGACATTCAGGGAATGTTGGAGCCATTGTAGGAAGTAATACTCCTGGCTTTCATTTCACCTTGAATCTGGTAACCAGAAGGTGAAGCAGCATTTTTTCTGGGAACTTTGTAAACAAAAGATGACACCTTTCAGCTTGTGCTCTAGAGGGTGCTTAGACATAATCCTTCCCATCACAGTGCAGAAATGGTGACAAAGGCATGTCCTTTAACTTGCACCAATGCTGTGTTTAAGAAAACACAAATGTCTGGATATTGGATAACTGCTTTGTAGAGTAACCTTGGTTTTCTGCTAAAAATAGATAATGCTGTCAAGTGACTTAAACCTCTCCCTATCTCAGATTCTAAGCAGTTTTCATGTCAAAGAGTTCAACAACAGTCAATGAGGAAACACATAAAATTTAACTTGTTGTAATAGTCTTTATGCAGTGCTATTTAGTTTAAGTTATTCATAGTTAACAGTCATTCCTGCCAGAGACTGTAGAAGGGAAGAAAGTGCTGTTGTATAATTAGCTGGCCAGGCAGACCAATCCAACTGAGACAGCAAGTGCAACTTCTCCACCACTTCACCTCCTGCTCTGTGAACTGCTGTAATACAGGTGCTATTGTTAGAACAAAGAACTGCCAGAAAGTAACAATTCCAGAATTTGCATGCATTGTCTGCATCTGGCTGTTCCTTGTTTTCATCAAGATGGTCAAGAAGAATGCTTGTTAGATTTAAATCTTGTGCTTTTTCTTGACTGATTTCAGTTAAGTAACAAAGACAAGACAGTCCTTTGAGTAGCTGGATCCTTACTTCTGTTGAAGTGGATTGTGTACAAAATAAATCGTGCGAGTTCTTCATGTAGGCTAATGGATGTAGTGCAGCATTGGGCCCACCTGTAATAGAAGAACTTTCTACATTGAAAAGACATGGGCCACTCAGTAATACATACACTGCACCAGAAGTCTTCAAACCCAGGCTACTATGGTTTTATTAACTTTAGTTACTGGAGAGAATAGTTTTCTGTATAAACTCTTGAAAAAACATGCTTCAGGAGAGCTGGAGTGTGGCATAAGAATAAAACCCATATGTGTGCTCTCACAGATGTATTGGACCTTGATCAATCTCCCTACGCCTATTATATCAGAGACATTAATGTATGAAAGTCTTGTCAGAAGTTTTATGGTGCTGCATTAATTGCTGTTTAAAAATGTTCTAAAAGGGTCAAGTTTCATTTAGTGTCCTGAAAATTGCTGAGTACTTTTTTAAAACATGGATGCAGTAGAACTATCTTATATAGTATGTACAGGAACTTTGTATACATGTGTGAAAGGCTTGTCAAATGTGTGGAAATTATACAGAGATTTGTGTAATTAGTTCTCTTAACGGCCATCTGACCTTTTATTTTTAAGTGTATAGGGAAACTCATTTAGCACTGAAACATAGCTATGTAACAGCTGAAAATCAACATCACTAAAGACAAAGAAATTTCACATCCAGCTACATTACAGAGAACATTCTGTCTAGCAGACTAAAATTACCAGTTCTGGAACCTAACTGCAGAATGTGATTCTTTCCAAGAAGTCAGAAATGTTTTTGTGCGCCAACTCGCCCAGCATGCTGACTCCTTTTCATTGCTATAGACACAATCTCATCTTTCATTGAAGTATTCTAAGGCTGCTCAGAAGTGTGATGCATCTACTGCGTCCTAGCACTTCCCCCATAAAATGTGCATGTCCTAACAGGACAGAATTTCAGAAATGTGACACTAAAGTGTGGGGAGACAGGCCATGTGCAGGTGTCAGATGTTTCAAGAAGGAACAGCTGTGCAGGGACTAGCAGAGGCAAGCAAACTGTGGGAAGGGCAGATGGGTTGTGCGAGGAAGAACTTTTAATCGGTTTAGCAAAAATACCAATTTTAGTGTAAACATCCATTGTATTTAAGACGACACATGGAGAAGTGAATTAGGCCATAATAACTACTTGGCTGGGCGACTGAAATCACTTGGAGTTTGGCATTGTATTGCTTATGTGAGGGCCTACAGCATTGTCATGTGTTGGAGCTTGTGTTGCAGCCTGTGCGTAAGTAATGAAGTTCGTCATCGATTTTTACAATGAAGCACACTGCATATTCATTTACTTTCCCTTAAGGGCCCTCTGAGGTTGTTTTTTATTCAGAACTGGATTTGAGACTTTGAGCAAAGGTTTGCAAATCCGCCAAGGCTGTGTGTTTCCAGCACTCTGTTGTTCTTGAGACTGAATTGCATTGTTACCATCATTTTCTTCAGCAGAAAATGCTTATTGTGTATTGTTAATTTCTCTTTCTGCTCTTGTAATGACACAAAGTAGTTCAGTGAATGATAATGGTGTTCTGAGAAACTTTGATTTGCCGCTGCTTTGTTGATCTGCCAATGACCACCTGTAATGAAATGTGATGGGTCGTGTTCAAGGTCAAACCCTTGGATAGGACGATACCTCTGTCATACCCTCGGGGCATCACAGCTGTTTGAAGGGGGGTGCTGTGGATCTTATCAGGATAATTTCATTGCAAATCAGCAAAGCAGGGGTCCGTACTTAAGATATACAGTCTGGCAGTCGTATTGACTCCTAATGTTGAATGCTTAAAGTCAGCAATAATCTGTATATAACAGACTGCAGCATAGGGTAAAGCTATAGTAGATAGCTTTTCTGAAGGTATACTGGGGACAGGAGGGGTCTTGCCAACAGCAGTGTGAAACTCTGGGCAGCCTAACTTAGGCTGCTGATCTAGCTAGAGTAGTGTAGAGGCACTACGGGTTTACACCTACCAGGCAGAACACAGAGACAGTAACAGTGTGGCAGGGGTAGTGAAAACCACCATAGTTCATGAAAAGCTTGAGGTAAGAATAAGCCACCAACAAAACCAGGCAAACCGAGTGCAGTTTTCCTGGCAAACTCCCTATCTCTTCAGTCTTCACCGCTGCCGAGTTATTTTGGTACAGGAGCTTTTTCCTAACGTACTTTTCTGAGGTGGCCCAGACCTATAAATTTGTTCAAGTCAACCTGCTGCAGCCCTAAGAAAGAGGCTTTGTAATTACTGCCTGCTGGTTCCTTCTTTGCTAGTTGGTAAGGATCCGTTTTGCTACAGTCCACCTCTATGCGACTGGTTTTTCCTAATCCACAAAGGAGAGCTCTTGCATTAATGTGGTAGGAAAGGGCAGCATTGTCAGCTCTGCGAGCATAAAAACGTGTTAAGGTATGAGACAAATACATGGTTTGTTCCTTTTTATTTGCCTTCTGGTTTTGGAAGCTTTAAGGTTCGTTCACTTTTTCAAGCGTTTGTTACTTATGGGATTTTTTTTGGTTTTGTTCTTAAATTAAGAGTGCGATTTTTTGCATATGTTGTCATGAATCATGTTTGGACATGATTCTTTGTTTTATTGACTTTTGTAAAACAGTATTAATGCTCAAAGATAAATTTAGCCTCTATACATCTATACCCCAGGTTCAAGCTTGTCAGTCTCAGATACCACAACAGGAACTAAATTTGATCTAACCGTTCCCACTAAAATTCCTGTGAATTTCCTCATTGACTTTACTGAGAGCGGGATTTGCTCCTATCTGGTTCATATGAGCTGTATACATGTTTTTTAACGGTTATGATGGTGAGCAGATCAGCTGTAGGTTAATAAACTTCTCAAAGGGTGGATTTAAACTACAGTGAGATGAAAGTAGATGTCAGTAGATGTAAGCTCCGTGTGACAAGGTACCTGTACGTGTGAGCAGCCCCATGCTCTCTGCAGCTTTGGTGCTCTGCTCGATAGGCAGTTCTGCGTTCCCCAGGTCTGCGCCGTAAGCCTGAATGTTTTTAAGAGGTTCTGTCTGAGATGAGTCTGTCTTCACAGAAGGGAAGAAAGTGATCAGCCAAAGTCTGGCAACAGTCCTGGAGCCTCTTCAGCATCTTTTCTGCTAGTCCTTGTGGAGCCTTTCCTGGGAAGTTCCCTGAATGATACACAAAGCTGGTTTGCTCTGGACTTAAACTAGGAGTAGCTGGAAATGTAGGGTACTAGTGCTTGCTTGAAAGTAAACTCATCTCACTCGTTACTAAGCGACAGTTCAGAATGTAGCACCTACAACCCGATGACATCATGGCTTTTGCTTTAACAAAATCGTGCTCCACGCTGTGATACACAAACTATGAGCAAGCTTTGACAGATAGTATGTACTGCAGGTAGGAGCTTTTGACAGATATGGGAATATAAGAATATTCTCATCTTCTTTTTAAATAGTGTATGCCTCTTGCTGATGCTCTGGGACACGAGCAAGGGCCTGCACGCACGCATTGAAGCAACCAGAGAAGGAACACTGAGAGGGCGCAGACCTCCCCTTGCTTCCAAAATAGCATTTTAGTTTAAAACTGGCTTTTTTAAAATGTGCTTTCATTCACCTCACAGAGGTACAACTAAGAGCAGTAATTTTTGCTACAGTTTCATCCCTTCTCTACTTTTTCTACTTTTGTGGTTTGTGTTTATTTCAACTACGAAAATAGTTTGCCACACTGGCCATCAGAAAGATGAAAAAGCAAGAGTTGTGCATATTAAAACACAAGCTAGTGTTGCACCATTTCTCCCGCTGCACAAGAAGTTTCTGTGTCTCTCTGCCCTCAGGCAGTAGTCCTTGCTATGTGTATTCTTCACTTGCTCTAATTTAGATGTTTTTGTACGATCTTAAAGTAATGTTCTAAGTCCTAACAAAATTGGTGTGGTATGAAACAAATTATTTCTACGCTGTAAGAAATCTAGCGGATGACTTCACATAATTTAGCTAAACTTTTGAGGTTGTCATAGTCTTGTCCTGGTGACCAGGCTTGAAAAGACAAATATTCCTTACAAACCTTTTCCCTTCATATGGCTAAACAACTTCCCTAATGGTTTGCCCCAAATCCAGCTGCAAGTAGGTGGCTTTTACTGAGCCACTTACGGTACTGGGAGCTGACTTGCATGATGTTCGAAGGTTGTATGAGCCTCACCATGGAGGGGCTGCTGGTAGAAAGAGTGACTATACATATGGACTGATGTGCTTTAGTAATTAAAAAATAATCTTTATTATAACTTAAATGTGATAGGAAATATGGTGAGTACAAATGCTGCAAAACTAAAAGCAAAAAACCGAAAAGAATTAAAAAAAAAAAAAAAGCAGAAGTCAGTACAAAAGGACACCTTGGAAGGATTCAGCTGATGGAACAGGCATGTTATCAAAACCATAAAATGGTTATTTCACCTTCTGCAAAAAGAGTCTATACCCCTCAGTAAACAAGTAAGCATTTTGAACTGTACAAAATGTACTTTTTTAATTAAAGGAAGAATATTGTCCTGGTAAATATATATATTTATAAATATACAGATATGTACATTGTTGTAACATTCACAGTAAAAAACACAAAACAAAGCAACCCCTGCCTGCCAATGTGTTTGGTGCACGAGGCTTCCTTTTGATGTGAATTGTTTGCAATCTTTTCTATGTAGTCTATGCAAATTTGGATACTTTAATTGACATCTAAATAGCATTTCATGCATAATGAACACAGTACAAGAACACTCTTCTGTTAAATTCTATTCACCTCCTCTGTTAACTTCAGGCTCGTAATCAACAGCTTGAAGCACTCGCTGTCTTTCATCCTTGCAGTGAGGGGGGGGAAAACGCATTCACTTCACCCTCTGTTTATTACTGCCTCCGAGGTCCGCTTTAGTTTGTTCCAGTTCTTTATATTGAAATCACTCTATAGAAGCTATGATCCACTAATTAGAGTGTATGAAATCCAATCCTGCCTGCAACTTACAGGACCAAATGGCTTTGGGGACTCGCGCAATTAGCTGTATTCA